TTCGTTCACATGGCTAAAGTTGTTGCGCCTGCGCAAAACCTAAGTAGCCTTCTGGCCTCCATGAGTTGGAGTGCGCTCTTATCGGGAATGCGACTTTTTATTTATTTGTTACAATAGCCTTAAGGCCCATCGGGTAATACAGAGGGGGTTAACAGATGAGCACAATATGCGAAACAAACATAAAATCGGTACAAATATCCTCATGGGTTACTTGCATCTAATAAATTGTAACAGCTACAAGTTTGGACATTAAAAAATCTGGCGATGAAAGGGGCGAATGACACGAAAATGCACTCGATCTGTGCCTAAAAGAGCATCTTTCACACTTTTTATATAAAAGACATTCGGTGAAACGGCCGTCAGCGATTCGATAAAATGGCGTTCGATGAAACGTCCATTTTTTCGATGAAACGGCGTTCCACGAAACGGCGTTCGATGAAATGTCCGGGAACCTTCACCAGCGAGGACGCCACGTCCACAAACAATGTAATGTTCTATTTGGTATGGTCGGGTAAAGATGGTCACCTCTTATCTTAACATTTCTTTTGCTTCTCAAGGGTGAAGAATTTTCAACAAACGTTTTAGCTTCTGGTTACGTCCCGAACATACAATGTATTGTTCTATTTGATTTGGGCGCATAAAGTGGGTCACCTCTTATCTTAGCGTGTCTTTCGCTTCTCAGGGGTGAAGAATTTGGAACAAACGTTTTAGATTCTGGTTCCGTTCCGAACGGTGAATGCAGAGGCTATATAAGAGCGACCATATTTTAACTCATACTTCATTCGAAAAGATGGAGGTGATCGCCGTAGAGAGAGGTGCAGCTCTGCTGCTTCACGAGGGGTTCTTGGACATATGCAGCAGAAATAATGATGAGACTTCTTATTGGATTTGTCGCAAAAGAGGAGGATGCAAAGCAAAATTAACAACTGATTTGGCTGCCAGTCGTATTATTGCCCGTTCAAGCGAGCATACGCACGCGGGGGAACCAACTGAGATAAACCCGTTGAAGACTCGTGATATCATAAAAGGAAAAGCGGGTGAGTGCCTGAAACTTTTCTGCGTTGAATAATGTAAGGTTTGTTTTTCTAACCATTGGTTTATTTCACAGTGGAAAGTCGTGAAACTCCTCATCAAATTCTTTGGCACGCTGCTTCCACAGTGAGCGAGGACTGGGACCGGACATTTCATCGAACGCCGTTTCGTCGAACGCCGTTCAATCGAAGCCGTTTCATCGAATGCCGTTTCATCGAACGCCGTTTCATCGAACGCCAGGGTGGCATTCCCGCTTCCTGAAGCTGGTTGGAGGTGCCCCTCCCGGGTTCTGGAAGTTTTTGACTTGCATCGCCGCAGAACATCAACTGACGGAAGACAAGGTGGAGGCAATGCTGAGTTCCCAAGAGCCTCCTCGCCGGAAGAAGGCCATAGCGGCAAGAAAGGAGAAGGTCCGCCTTTTTTATGAGAATCGACGGAGCAAGGCTGTGGGGGACTTTTTGAGAGACGGTGAATGGCTGTCGCACGAACACATGGACCCCCGAACGTTTTCAAACAAAATTTGAAGTGACGTACTTACTTTTGTCTTCATTGAGTCTTAGAACTAAAAAAGAGAATGTTTCGTTGTAGTTTCAGAAATAGCACCTCAGCTTTAGCTAATGCAAGCTTCAAGCAGTAAAAGAGTATCAATAGAAAGACATGAGAGGCTAGGAGGTTCACATGGCTAAAGTTGTTGCGCCTGCGCAAAACCTAAGTAGCCTTCTGGCCTCCATGAGTTGGAGTGCGCTCTTATCGGGAATGCGACTTTTTATTTATTTGTTACAATAGCCTTAAGGCCCATCGGGTAATACAGAGGGGGTTAACAGATGAGCACAATATGCGAAACAAACATAAAATCGGTACAAATATCCTCATGGGTTACTTGCATCTAATAAATTGTAACAGCTACAAGTTTGGACATTAAAAAATCTGGCGATGAAAGGGGCGAATGACACGAAAATGCACTCGATCTGTGCCTAAAAGAGCATCTTTCACACTTTTTATATAAAAGACATTCGGTGAAACGGCCGTCAGCGATTCGATAAAATGGCGTTCGATGAAACGTCCATTTTTTCGATGAAACGGCGTTCCACGAAACGGCGTTCGATGAAATGTCCGGGAACCTTCACCAGCGAGGACGCCACGTCTCAAATGCCCCCCCCCCCCCCCCCCCCCCCCCTTCATCCCTTCGGCGAACCATCAGGAAACAGAGACAGCGCATGACGTTCACTTAGAGCATACCGTCTGCAAGAGGAGACATCCGCATCCCCGAGGAGTTTAAGGTACTGTACAAAACTAGATGATAGTGGTATTTTTTTAAATTTTCATATCTGATTGTAGGTCACGAGCAAAGGCGAGTCCTTTCTTCTACACGACAGCGGGGACGGCGACCAGGCGAGGCTCCTCATCTTCGCAACAGAGAGGAACATGGGCTAGTTGGCTCAGTCAAACGTCTGGTTGGTGGATGGTACGTTCAAAGTGGGACACCCCAGCTGTTCTATCAATTGTACACGGTGCACGCAATAGTTCATGGAGTGATCGTGCCAATGGCCTACGGGTTGCTGTCAAGCAAGAGTGAAGACACCTACACAAGGGAATCCCGGAGAAAAGCTCACCGGAGAAAAGCTCACCGCAAAACCGGCGGATGCGGAGGAAAGCTCACCGGCGATTGAGTGTATGCGGAGAAAAGCTCACCGATTTTTTTTCTTCTTTTTATATGGAGGCTGTTGGATCATGCGTAACATATATCAATTTATTATCATTAAAATTTGTCAGCTTTGCAAAAAAAAAGTCTTTTTTTTTGTAATATTTGTTAAGCTTATTGGGTATATTGCTCCCAAATTAGTAATAGCGGGCGAGTGTTTTCTGTGGCTTACTCTGTAGGCAACGAAGGCCCAGCTCCAATTTTTATGATCTTGAAGAACCGAAAAAAGTTCGAAAACTTAATAATGTCTGCCTAAAATCTAAAAAAGAAATGAAAGCCGTTTACAAATCCCTGTAACACCGAATTGGAGCGCAGCTCTTGAGGAGGAGGAGGGAAGGGTACTGAGGGTTACCTGTTCTCGGGACGGGGGGGGGGGGGGTCATGTGACCTTGGGGGGTCACATGACCCTCCAGGAAATTTTTTCCGCTAGATTTAGCGGGGAATTTTTTTCGCTAGATTTAGCGGGGAAATTTTTCCGCTAGATTTAGCGGGAAAATTTTTCCGCTAGGTTTAACGGGAAAATTTTTCCGCTAGACAGCGGGGAATTTTTTCCGCTAAATCTAGCGGGAAAATTTTTCCGCTAGATTTAGCGGGTTAATTTTTCCGCTAGATTTAGCGGGGAATTTTTCCCGCTAGATTTTGCGGAGAAATTTTTCCGCTAGATTTAGCGGGAAAATTTTTCCGCTAGATTTAGCGGGGAACTTTTCCGCTAAATATAGAGGGGAAAATTTTCCGCTAGATTTAGCGGGGAATATTTTCCGCTATATTTAGCGGGGAAATTTTTCCGCTAGATTTAGCGGGGAATTTTTTCCGCTAAATCTAGCGGGGAAAATTTTTCCGCTAGATTTAGCGGGGAAATTTTTCCGCTAAATTTAGCGGGGAAATTTTTCCGCTAGATTTAGCGGGGAATATTTTCCGCTAGATTTAGCGGGGAATTTTTCCCGCTAGATCTAGCGGGGAAATTTTCCCGCTACATTTAGCGGGGAATTTTTCCCGCTAGATTTAGCGGGGAAATTTTTCCGCTAGATTTAGCGGGGAATGTTTTCCGCTAAATCTAGCGGGCAAAATTTTTACGCTAGATTTAGCGGGGAAATTGTTCCGCTAAATCTAGCGGGGAAATTTTTCCGCTAGATTTAGCGGGGAAATTTACCCATAATGCACCGCGCGGTTACGGCGACGGCGACGGCGACGGCGACGCCGACGCCGCTCATGCCGGAAAAGGGCCCCTAAGAGCTGCGCTCTAAAAAAAAAAATCTGTAAATGCCGAAAATCCGAAAGTGCATGCACAACAACGCGGTGCCTGAAATTCTCTTTGAAGCTTTTGTTAACCTTTGAAAATACGAAAAACACAGTCAGTAGGATATCGAAACTTTTTTTCTATCACGGAGACCACACGTTGCCTTTGTGTGATAGTGCCTTTCTACGGCGAGCCACCCATGACCTTCAGAGCTGCACACTGGCACCGTTGTTACTTGTGACCTATATAAGAAGTAGTCTCCTGTAAGGCAGCGAATAGGGCGAGTTGGTAAACGCTATACATGATAAAAACCGCTCAAACGACGACGACGGAGTGAAGACAACAAACACGACAGAGTCTGTTCTCGCAACTAAAGTTTTGTTAGTGAAATTAAAAGAAAAACAAACAAACAGCGTAGCCGACACTTATTACATCAACAAACACCTACTTATCTATTAGGCACTTCACAATATTTGGAACTGAAACGGTCCACACACCGCTGTTAATATTAGCTCGCAAAGAACAAACATCTTTATTTTACAGAGCTACCGACGCCACCCTGCCAGTTGTCAATAACTTGTTGTCTTTTTTACCGGTGTACTATGTTCTGATTTTATGCCCCCTTGCGGCTTCATTAATATACAAAATGGGTGATTTCTAATCTTTGATGAATTAGTAAATATGCCCAATGAACTTCAAGAATATTGCAAAAAACTGGACATATTTTTAATGAAGTGACGAATGCGAATTATGTTAAATTGCAACGTTTGACGCAGAATCCGCTAAGTTAAAAAGAAATCGGCGAGCTTTTTCTCCGCATCCGCTCAAAGCCCGGTGAGATTTTCTCCGCATCTGCCGGTTTTACGGTGAGCTTTTCTCCGGTGAGCTTTTCTCCGCCGCCCTACACAAGGCAATCCTAGCTCTTATGTTCAATGGATGGTTTTCGTGCTTGTTGTTGGAAACGTTACATGACATAATTTTCTAAACGAAACCCTTTTTATTCCCTACTTTTGCTGGGTTTTTTTGCAGCTCTACTCAATATCTTGGGTCCCATCAGCGTTTGGGTCGTCTACTCGGACTTCGAGATCGCGGCTGTAACCGTCATCAAACACCTTTTACCTAACGCGAGGATCCAAGGATGTTTGTTTTTTCATCTAAGTCAGTCCGTTTACCGGAAGGTCTGTGCATCCGGTCTGCAAAGTAGATACAACACGGACGAGGACTTCGCGGTACAGGTTAGTATTCTATGTATTTACGGGGAAATAATCTATCATTCACTGTTGTCTAATCCATACCGCATTGCACTTCCACCACCTCAATGTTTTACAGATAAGAATGTCCACAGCACCTGCCTTTCTTCCGGTTGGCGAGATACCTGAAGCCTTTCAGGATCTGCTGGAGGTCATCACCATGGAGGCTATCCGTGTGGCTAACTATTTCGAGGACACGTATGTAGGCAGGCCAAGGAGGATAGAAGGGTAGGACAGGGCATGACGTAGGCCGCGTAGCCTCCACAAGCCATGCTCCCTTGACGCCTCGCCTCTTTCTCATTTTCCTCCTTACTCTCCTCACTTACCATGCCAACGTGACCACATCACGTGACCGTAGCTAGCCTTCGTCTTGATGGGGTACTAGAATACACCACAGTCAAGCCTTCGATCGGATAAAACCTACCGGACGGAGCGCGCGCAAGCCTGCAAGGAGTCCTTCTACAATGAACCATCTATCTCACACGTGACATGGCACGGGCACCAATTGCCAGAGAGATCTGCGGTCACGCTGGGCACAAAATCCTTTAAACTTTTTATGAATAGGCTTCACCAATAATGCAACGTGCTCCCTCCTAGTACTCCTGACCTCCTTGAGGCAGGCCCCGTCGAAATGGCCTGTGTTCCGCGCTCTTTTCACCGGAAGTAATAGCCAATATGCATCGAAACAACAGCAGTGTCGAGGCGTGGCACAGGGGACTGCTGGTTAAGCTTTTCTGTTTAAATCTCGACCGAGGCTGTGTTTAGAAGGTTATTGAGTTATAACGCCCTTTACATATCACGTTCGACTGGGCTTTCTTTTTCAGAGGAACGTGAAGTGCACAACACGAAACTTGTTTTTTTTTTTTTTTTTTTTCTGGACTGCATTAAGAAAGAGCAGTCTTTCAGTGAGATGAAGATCGCACAGTCTGAAGGCGGCACGACGTTAACAAGGAACTCCAAGAAGCACGCCATTTGCAACAGGCAGATCCAGTTCATCGTTGGACAGCACGACAGCACCCGATGCCTCAACATTCTCAGGGCATTGGCCAGGAGCATTACTTTCTAAAATCTTGTAATGATCAGAGCAATAAAGTTGCAATTTCAAGTTTAACTTCTTTTCCCATGCTGTCCTATATTTTAGCAAAGTGGTGCGAATATTTCATGGTATTTATGCATATACCGTATCATGATATAGCTATGCAAATCGGCCCAATCTTATGCATAACGTACATTTACACACAAATTCATTTTCGTAAAGGACCACGCTTGTTGTTTTAGCTGCACGGCCAACAGGGAATCTGGGCAGTTCCTGAAATTTATATTTTACTATCGTCTCCTGACTGCTCGATGTGACCAGTGGCCCGCGTGACAAGTCATCCTCTGACGGCTGTTCCAATGTGATGAATCGTCTTGTGACCAATATTCCTGTGACGAGTGTGCATGTGACGAATCGTCCTCATCCCACTATGCCCTATCTCACTAGTTGCGCGCAGTACTTGGAAGCCACGAGCGAGAAATAAGTGACAGTTGCTTTTGTAGGACAATCGCGACGTGGAAACCCATAAAAGAGAGTCCCGATAAGAAGAGAGCTTCCCCTTCTCCTTCAAGTGCATGGGTTACGCTCTCAATCCTGCACCTGTGGTAACACTGCCAGGCTCCTAAAATCGCCTTCCCTAAAAGACACAGTAGCTTTTAGAATTGAGGGGTGCTACGTGAAAGCGAGCGACATGTCACGGGAACGAAGGCAAGGTGCTCCGGGCTTTGAAAACGCTCCTGATCGCAACAACAACTTTTTGTGCCTTTTTTTTTGTCGAGGCACAAATACTTCTTCTTTCTTTTCGTTTACCTTGATACCACATCAGCGCAACCACTACCATAAACTAGAAAAAAAAAAAGTTGGCATGACGAAAATAATCTTTGGAGAAGGGGAACAAGAGGGAGAAAGGACAAACACAAATCTCCAAACACAGCTAGGTGACTCGTGCGCAACCGAAAAAATCCGCCTGGTCCGGATATCAAACCCGGGACCTCTCCATTACAGGTGGAGCGCTCTACCAACTGAGCTAACCAGGGGTCAGACGTCAGTAGAGCAAACGAGTTTTATCAGCTGCCACCAGTCGAACACCATCAAGGGTGACGCTTGCAATTTAAGGTTATGATTATAATGCAATTAAATGCAAAGGTGCAAGCGAGCACCCACTGGGACCCGAGTCAAGGCAAGAACAACTAACTACTAAAAGGAAAGAGAAAAAAATCATGTTCGCATACTCAGACAGAACGCCTCCATCGAAAGAAATGAATCATGCGCTTGTTCTGCCAGTCTCGTTGTGCGTCTATCAAAAGCCACAAAGGAGAAAGGAAATCAGCGCCTACACCACCACCCCCTTCCCACCCCTCCCCCCCCCCCCCCCCCTTAAAAAAAAAAGAAGAAAAAACGTTTTTTGGGGGGCCCGTGGTCGCCCGAGCGATGACCTTGGAAGGGAATGCGATTGTAGCACGTTTGTCCCCCGGCTGTTCCCCTGTCTGAAATGCCACAGTCTGTTTCCCCCAGGTACCGAAGTCCCCGTTTTATCTTCCCCGAGTATCAACTCCGCAGTTGTTCGGAGTCATTCCAATGCTTTCCAACATTGCAAAACTGTTACACGAATATTTTCACACAAGTATACACTGTTCGCAGAACTATCTACAGTGCTAAAGTTCAAGAGCGCTGTGTTGGATTCGGGAACTCGTGTAGGTTTAGCTCATTGTTGGAACATTCTTATTCGTTTGATGAACTCCACGAAACTTGTAGATATTAAATGGACCTTCTAGAGTACGATATTAGTTGTCGGGGTCCCAGGCGACCAGACAGGACGCAATTATTGGTTGATTGAACATTTTATTTCATAATCACAATCGTATCATCAAGGGCACGCCATTTCCTCATCACTTCTTCTACGAACGGAGTTGCTGTATTCGTAGCACACGTAGACGGAAACGGTTGAGACTGTGCTCAAATAAAACCTTCTTTTGGTAGGTACTGCGCGGCGATTACACACAACGCTTCTAACATAAACATGCTGCTCCACATGTTTATTCACAAGACGCCCAATACATCGTTCTCCCAACTTCGTTGAAATGGGCATGAAAGCGCGTAACCGTCACTTGGTTGAAGTGTTTACCGTAAAAAATCGTTAATTATTTATTTTTTACGTTCCACTGCAACATTCGATTCACTTCAAATTTTTTTCATGTCGTCTCTACAGCGCTTTTACGTCGGTACTTTCGATTTAGAGAACATCACATAATGTGCGAAAAAAGAAAAGAAAAAACGGTACGATTGATGCTTCAACGCCTTTTTTTTATGGACATTAAAAAAAAAAAATAGTTGTCTTCACTTTGCACTGCATGTTTTAGCACGGAAGTTCCTATTTGGTTATAATGTGTACTTTCTTAAAAATATATACAGTAATTTAAATTACCGAATTACAAAAACGTCGAAATTGCATAATTGCCTTTCGTTGGGACGCCATGACGAAAGCGACACTCGAGTTCGCTGCTGGTTTTCGACAGAATTTCTAGGATGAATCGCCAGGATCGCGAGATGCAACCGCGTGACACTCCGTCTTCTGTGACGTCATTTGTCGCCGCTTCGGGACCACTTTTGATGTATGGCCAGCATAGGACGCTAAACACACCAGTCGGAGATGCGCTCCAGGCGCCATAGTACTGCTCCTAAAAGTAGCTGTCACGTGCTTTGCTCCGCGACTGTGATTCCCTCACAGCAGCTCTCACTGAGGGTTGCCCAATTACGGTGAAATAGAGTATAGACAAAACAGACAGGAAACGAGCTGCCAGCATACGCTAGTCAAACTTCCAACAAAAAAAATTAGTTTCTCCCCAAGCTGGAAGACATTTATCGGGCATATTTAGAGCTGCGAAGTTCGAAATCACGCCACTTGTAAGATTTTTTTCTCTCGCGTGTTTGCGATTTTTACAATGTCCTGCAATCAAAAAAAAAAAAAAAAAAAAAAAAAATATGGTGAAGTCACTCCGAGGGGGTACCGATAACTGCGGTGACCGGACAAAAAGCTCGCCGGACAAAAGCTTGCCGGCAAAAACTCACCGGACAAAAGGTCACCCATTTTTTCACAGGCCCGGACAAAAGGTCACCTCATTTTTTTTTACCCGGGCAAAACACGGGCTGGTGTAAAGTGTGCACGCGATGGACATTGCACCATATTTAGGAGACCTGTCATTCCATCCCATGCAAAGGTGTCGACAGATAAGTCAAAACAGGCAGAGAAGCAACGATTTGGGACCGAAATTTAGTTCACCAAATTTGAGTGGAGCTGATAAGAGCAAGCTTGTTTGACTCAAAGTATGCTGGAGCACCTTGTGTCACACTCAAGAAACTTCGTGAACCAAATTTTTAGAACCCGAAGACTGACCGAAGAAGCGAAGTCACGCTCCGATGCCCTCGCTTTTCCATTGTCACGCTAAACGCGCACATAAAGGTTAGGCATAATATCTATTCATTTCTAATGCATGGGTTTTCTTGGAATTCAGGGTAATATTTGAAGTGAATGGCTATGAAAATTAAATTATGTTTGTCAGTGTGCGTTGTAAATGTATATAAAATCAAGGATTATATCAGGGTGATGTAAAGGGGAAACTGAAGCAAGACAGTAATATACAAACCACTGAGTTGGCAATTAAAAAAAAGTTTATAGAACGCGGCAAATACAAGACAGATGACCAACTTAGAAAGCTGTACGGGAGTTTGGATAGGCTGGCGCTCCTACCATCACAACTTGTACCCGAAGAACTAAACTACATCAGGGAAAAAGTCTACCGGTGACATCGGCGACCCGCTGGACTACTTTGACTGAATGTATGTCAACGGCCTCTTCCGTTATGCTTCTGCTCCTTCTGCGGTGGCACCCAGACCGAATTCTTCCCTTTGCCTGACTGTGCGCCGACGACGACCGGAGTTTCCTCCGGAACGGTAGAATATGCACTACGCCACTCTTCAATATAAATACTGAATGAACAGCACCTGCGAAGGACGGAATGACGGGTTCCAGAAGCTTGTCGGCCACCCCCATCCAGGCGTCTGGAGGCTGACTGAACCCCGAAAGAAAAATCAGGCGCTCGATGCCATGGCATGGACACAAGCCCGGAGAGAAAGACCCCCAGAGAAGAACCCCCAGAGAAGCGGGTGCGAAAAAACACTCTGTGCCTGCAGAATCGTCTGAAAAATATTTTCGAGGGGTTCTAGGTACACCCAGATCTACAGACTGCTGGAGCTAGTAAGAGACTGCATTCGCTTCTAACCAATCGAAAAATAAAATTGTTTTTACTCTAATCAACAAACCATGCGCCTGTCAGATTTAATTTATCGTTGCATTTTAGTGTCGCACGCATGCACCTAAGTTGTCCGCACTCGATTTAAGACCAACATAAAGTTTTATCCCGGTGAGCGGTGAGCTTTTGTGATGGGCCTGTGAAAAAGTGGGTAAGCTTTTGTCCGGTGAGCTTTTGTCCGGTGAGCATCTGTCCGGTGAGATTTTGTCCGGTGAGCTTTTGTCCGGGATTCAATAACTGCGAGCCTCGAACATGAAGGATTCGCTAACATCTGTCAGGAGTGTGAACGGTAAATCGTCACGCAAACATATTCTCACAAGCTGCAAATATTTATTTGGCTTAGCAAGTAGATGATACTAACGACATGTTATTAATATATACAAGATGCCATTTCTCGGTTCTTCAAGACCATTTCCCTAGTTTGAACGGTCGCGCTACGGGCCGCGGCTAGCCGTGCCCTCGATAGACTACGGAGCTGCGTTGTGTCGTCTGCTACTGTACCGCCAACAGGAGAGCGATCGCTTTCTGTGTTCCACAGATGCGTGCTGCGGTATGACTCTGTACGTCTGTCCTGGAGGAAGATAAAACAATAAACTCTATGAACCCCCCCCCCCCCCCCCCTTCTAAGCTAGAAAAACAAACAGAAGTATACTCGTTTGGACTGAAAGGTTTCCGAAGTAGTGGCCAGAGATTGGAAAAGCATGTCACAGAACTTGGTTTGTGAAATGGCATTATTTTTTCGAGCAAGAAATCACCTGCT